CACGTAGGATTTAAGGCTCTAGGCACTTTTTATCGCATATCAATAAAATTTGCAATCTCTACCCTGCAGGGATAAAGCAGAGAGTAAGACACAAACAAGAAATGCTAACGTTTAAATCCAAGGAGCTTAGTTTCATTATTTCTGTTTGATACTATAGGAAAGAGAGGCACAGGCGTAAACCAACTTGCACAGACATATACCTCCAGGCAGTGACTTAGTAGGAAACAGAATTCAGGTCTGCAAAGCAGCTGGGGAAGTTTTCGGCCAGGCTGCCTCTCCTGTCCCTGCTATAATAAACATAGCAGGGTCCTGATGCTGGGAAAAGCAATGGTTTGTCAAAGGAAAAAGAGAAGCAGCGTATCTGTCTATCCCCTAGCTGTTACAAAGTGGACTGGACAGAGTAGCAGGACTAGAGCAACTTCATTTCCTTCAGTCTGAGCTACTGCTGGAGATGATTTTAAACTTTCTTTGTCTACAACATGCTGTCTCAGGGTGTGCTCCTCCCTCTTATCTCTTCTTTTCTTTCTCCTATTCCTTTTCCATCTAATGCCTGAAAAATGTCCTGAGGGTTTGACAGTTTCTATTTAATCATTTCATCCTTCTGTATAGAAGACTGCTGAGCACCATACAGTGAAGTTACTACCAGCCTGGAATTTCTGAATATCTGCCTGCCCTCTTATCTGCTTTGGTGCCAGACTCTTGATATCTCACTTCTCCCCACCCCTCACCCTGCGTCTGTGATGCTGTAACAAATAAACATTCTAAATAACCCCCTTTGCTGGGGGGAGGGAGGGGAACAAAAAAACACCACCAAAAAAACCCGCTGCATTTTGCCAACACACAAAAAAAGGCAGAGAAAGATTGTTCCCCAAGGTTTTCTTTTAGCTCCCAGTGTATTAGGGGTATATTCATTAGAACCAGAATTAGATTACAGAGGGGGAGAAGGACTAGCAGACAACCATTTCATTTAGCCTTAGACGACACAGTTCAATTCCCACCTTGCTGCATTTTGCAACTCGCAGTCTTTTATGAGACTCTAAAAAAGATTGGCTACACTTTCTGTCTTCCACTAAACCAAACTCTCTAAATAAATAAATAAATCCACTAACGTCTGCTCAAATGCTCAGATGTGATGAAGTTTCCAACTTGGGGTGCCCTATTATTTCCATAAAACAAAGCAAGGACCAAGCATTGGATAAGACATAAGTGAAAAAAAAATAATTATTGCCACTCATTGTCTCAGGCAGTTTGTTCCCAACTAGAGTTTGCAAGTGATTTATTTTTCCATTAGGGTTCTGAACCTCAGCAATTCTATGAATTATTCCAAATGAACCCAAAGTTCATTTTGGGAATCCTGGGTGAATCATAGCATTTCTATGTCTTTTTTTAATATCCCCAAGCACTCAAGTCCTGACTGTGTGACAGGGTATTAAGCAAACATTGGGTAAAGCAGAGCACAAGCACAGATACGCGTGCTTCACCAGCACTACCCCGTGGTGAATGCAAGTGAACTTCATGTCTTTCATTGAGCACCCTGACTGCCTGAGGGTACAAGTGTGTACACACAGGTAACTATTAAAAAGATGACACACTGTAATGTTACACCTTCCATAGGCCCATGGCAACGCTTCTGTGCACGTATATTCCACGTACCTCCCAAAAATGAGAGTAGCTTTTTTGTGAATACTTCCCTGTCGAGACAGACAGAAATCAATATATCTAGCCAAAACCATAGGAGGAAAGGGGCACTAACAGCAGGCTGTAGAAAACAATCTAACTGGAATCTGATGTACAGACCTTTGCTCTCGATAGCATGTATGCATATCTGTAGGTATAGCCATTCATGGGTTTTAGGGTAATTTTGCAGAAACATCCAGACATCTGGAAAAGCAACAGTGCTGAATCTGCTCTTCTGTCACTAGACCATGCAAAAGATTCTGTGATCAGAGAGCAGCAGCCAAGTTGGCTGATGATGTTGAGGAACCATCTATCTTCTATTGTAGTCACGGCCACCCTTTGATAGAAAGCTGCGGGCTCTGCAGGTCTAATATGCTTCTGGCAGAAGAGTAAGAAAACAGGTTCTTCAGACTCAAAAAGCAGAGTTAAATAGTAAGTGGTACTCCAACAGCCACTGACATACTATGGCCATGAAGTTAGTTTAAGTTAATCACTTAGGAATGATCAGTGAGGCCAGATAGAATCCTCCCACATCTTCAGGAGGAAAGAACCACACCCCTCCACCACTAGAAAACCAAAAGCTTTTCTGTGCACTCCAGATTTCAACTCTAAATATTTTCAATATTCATCTAAAGCATGGTTGGTAGCAATCACAAAGTTTTAGGAATTATGCGGTCTCTTCCCAGGCTCAGACTGCCAGTCAGCACATTAGAGATCATTGTTGTCAGTCATTTCCAAACATGTTTGGAATCTGCAATTAGAAACATTAACAATGGGATTTCACAGATGTAGGTTACATGCTTTCAGAAGAGAAATGGCAGCTGCTGGCAGTGGGGAAATACTTAAGAACTACTTATCCCCTAATTAAACAAGGTACTGCACTCTAAGTATTGAATGCTAAGCAGTGCTCTAGCATGTGCTCATCTTAACCCTACAGAATTATGCTGAATTACTAAGGCTCCATCTGAGCATTTCTTAGCCAAGATTCCTTGCATAAACAGATGGAGCAGTTCTGCTGCTTCCATGCTGACACAGTCAGACTGTGAAAGTACAGGATTAAGTTCAAATTTATCATAAAATCACTTTAGATAGGATGCTGTAATCTTTATATCCTTCTCAAGTCTGACAAACAGAAAGACAAGACTGTCTGTGTTGTGTTTAAAATAGGCAAACAATAGCTGAAATGGTTGGTAAAAAAACATTGATTTAACCACTACAGAATGCTGGCTGAGGCCAGAGTAGGACAACCAGCCCCAAAGATCTTTATATTCCTGTGAAGAAGTGGATGATCCTCACTAGATGCATTTCCCAGGAACACATTAATGCACCATGTAACTCCCAATGGCACTGCAGACACCAAGGATCATCATACTAAAAGGGTAATCATCTAGTTATGAGCTGAATATCAAAATCCATAAAGAAGGGATGACTGCAGGTAGAGATGATGCTTTGAGGAGTCACCTATGAGAGAAGACTGGCAAGTGGCAGAATATTTAGAAGATTTAGACTGGTTTTCTGTCTCTGAAGCAACACAAAGCAGTTGGAACAGAATCCACGAGTGGGCGCCAAATTAGTCTTGGCTTCTGAATGTAGTCTGGTGATAGATTTCAACACTAGGCATTAATTAATATTGCTGGAACATTTTGAGAGAAGACTACCCAGAACCCAAGTAGGACAAAGAGAGAAGGTCACTGACCTACATCATAGTCAGTGCAAATACACATCTGTTAATTCCTACCAAGACAAGATTTCCCCAAATTTTAACTTCCATAGAATATTTCCCCTCAAAGACATTGAAGGGTTGCTTTTCTAAGAAAACCAGAATAAAACTTCAGAATATGATTCTCGGAGAGTCAGGTCTTCACACATAAACCAATCCCGTGAAGTTTAACTGCAGACCTCCTGTCAGAGTCTCAAACTCCTCTGTGGTTTCAGTAACTTCTAACTGGAGAATGAGAATCCCCATTTTGAAACTGCTCCGAAGATTTCAAAACCTGGAGCGTAAATAAAATTGTTTGAACATTCTTGTGAATGCACCAGAAGGAGCGTGCCTTGCTAGTTTGAGACACAAGATAGCCAAATGCCCAGCTCCTGCAAGTGTAGTTTTCCTACTCTGAATTTGGCAGTGCATGGTCCTAAATCTACAGCTCCACCACGTAAGAGACTCTCTCAAGTATGATCTTGTTAAAATTTAACTTTGTGAAGAAACAGTGTATTTAAATAAAATTAAATTCCTTTTAAGTTTTCTGATCAGCTCTCTGCAGTTACACATTCTGGTACTTTCTCTCCTGTCGGCAATCTATATTCACGTCGCATGCTGCTTAAAGTGCAGATCAAAACCTTTCCTCAGCCATGGACTTTCAGACGTTTGTTCAACCTTTCCCCTAAAGCTAATTTTTTTTTTTTTTTTGTAAGGAAGAGTTAAGTTATACAAAGGTACTGTTGGAAATATAATGAGAACGCTGTCAGCTGAAAGTCTAAATACCAAAATAAGATAATAAATCAGTCATTTTTATCATGGTTTCTTTATACTTTCTTGAAATTATAGGTCTGTAAAGGTACCAGGCTTAATTGTCTAGTAAGCCACTGTCTTGCCTGCCTCTCTTCTAAATGCCATGACACAGAAATGAAGGCTATCTCCCATTGCCTTTTGTTGCTTTCATGGGTGCGAAGTAAACAATTCAATCAATTTGTGACACGCTTTTTCCCCATAGTATGAGGTTAGTGTTACACTGAAATTCAGAAGAAAAGAAAGGACACAGCATTCAGTGGACAGAGTGGAACAAAAATCACTAGTGCACAGAGACAAAGTGTAAATATGTGTTGCTATTTGCGTGAAGATGTTTATGTAGTTTAACATATAATAGTACCACATAAGCAGACCTATATGAAAAAATTAAATTCCACAGCATAGAATTCATTCCCATGTTCTTAGACCTGGAGCAAATGTGAATGTTCTGTAAATTCTAAATTACATGTTTAGACCATGATTTTCCATTTTCAGTTATAGCCAAAGCATGGCTATCCAGCATAATGTACACAAGAAGAACCAGCCTATTTTGATACTCGGGCTCTTTCATCTGAATAAATTCTTTATGAATGTTTAGCATTTACACCTAAAGATGAAATATATCATTCAAACCCTGGAAAATTTGTATTTTAAGTTAAACTAAAGGCTAAAACATTACAGCAATATCTGGATTGAAGACTGATTTTGATATCTCTGCTAACAGATTAAAATGACTTACAGTCCTAGATGGAACATGTAAATATCTAGCAGCATCTCCGTGGCACTTTCTTTTAGTCCTTTGTATTTATCTTACCTTTAATGCATCGTGTTTTTCATTTGCTCCAACAATCAAAATTTCTGCCATATCCTCAGCATGCTCAGACCTTGCGTGGACAAACAAGGCTCTGCCAGCTTCTGATACATTCTTTAGCGCAACTAAAGACCCGTCGGGTTCCACCTTAAAGTCTGAGTTAGAAACTTCAAATTTCAATTTGTTATTCCCCTTGCAGTCATCAAATTCCACTGCAGAAAAAAAAAGAAAAAAGAAAAAACACAATTATAAGTATCCACTTTGGAACACAGACTTCAAACATTTTTATGTTATTGACTTGTCTACAGATCTCAGGAAGAAATGTCTCCCAACCTAAAGGGAAAAATTTTCAAAGCAGCTTTGTATTTTTGTGACTATAATTCATAGACAAATCTTATGAATATGCACTTTCAGAAGGATGAGGAGATTTTGACCATGCTAATTGGGGAGGTAGGAGATAAACTAAGCATTTTGGACATGAACATTCTGTGAACACTCAAATCAAATGCAAAAAATGCACACCTAGTTCTACAAATTGGGCAGTAGCAGTAGAGACCTTGTTATCCTCCTCATCGTAACCTGGGATTTCTACAGGCTCTTCTGCTGGCAAAGTGGTTTGAGATAGCCCATAAATCTTTATGCTTGGAATTAGTTGTTTACAGAATATTCAACTTTGCCTACTGCAAAAGTGTTACATAACAGAAAAGTCAAATTATAACATTTCTTACGAACTACCAGAATTGTGATATAGCACATGAGCTGCACTATCAGTATAGCTAACGATTATGAGAACTTTTAATTAAACAACAGCCGTCAATAATCCTGTTTCACTTTACTTGGAAGATCTTCTCTGCGGCTCCTTCCTCCTCACACTTTTCCCCTGCTCCAGCAGGAGTCCCCTCCACAGGCTGCAGCCTCCTTCAGGACATAGCCGCCTGCTCCTGTGTGGGGTCCTCCAGGGGCTGCAGGGAACCCTGCTCTGGCACCTGGAGCCCTTCCTCCTCCTCCTCCTCCTCCTCCTCCCCCGGGGCTCACACTGCTCCCTCTCACACCTTTTTCCCTCACCCCTCACTCCCAGGCAGCGTTTTGCCCCTTTTCTTCAACAGGCTTCCACAGTGGCACCACCAGCCTCGCTGAGGGGCTCAGCCATGTCCTGTGGTGGGGCAGCTGCGGAACCGCACGGAACCGGCTGGAACCACCCGGAACCGGCTGGAACCACCCGGAACCAGCTCTGCCCAGCACGGGGCAGCCCAGCCTCACCTCACAGAGGCCCTGCAGCCGCACACCCTGTACATCGACAAAGGCATTAGAAACCTGAGGTGGGATTTTAAAAGAACAAAGTTGTGATCCTGTGAATTTGTGCCTGACTACCCTCTTACTGAGAAGAGTCCAAACTCTATACTCACCACAGTCTCTTACATAAAAGTTATCCCAGCACCTGAAAGATCTGCTTCTGCACAAGTTTTAGGCTTGCTTAAGTATTTTTAACTAAAAGTTGCTCCCATTTCCTCTGCTTTACTTGAGGGCTAGAGAACTATCCTTGGATTCACAGTGGGATAACAAACCAAAATTTCATCAGCTCATTTGCCATTTCATTGAATTTTGCTGAAAGCAAGAGGGATTATAAATAAAAAAGAAACAAAAAGCTCTTTCCCCTCAGATACTTCAATCCCTCCAGACAAACCTATCTCAGTCTGTCATGTTTCAGACCCTTGCTTGCAAAGTCTTACATTGCAGTAGAAGCGGGGCGGGGGAAAACATAGAATTTGGAAGCAGTAGCAGTTTAAAACAATTTCACAGTGCTCAGACTCTGCTGGTGTCCATGCTGCTCTGCGAGGCCAGGAACCACTCACAGAAAGGCTCTTGTGTCCACGGTAGGATTTTGACGGAAGGCGCTCTGTTAGCAAGGCCTCCCTGGCATAAACCCACCCGTTGCAATTTATGTCGGTGATACGACAAGTGTTTTAACAGATTCACTGCAATCTCCCAAAGCTGTCAACCCACAAAAAAGACAAAATTTTCCTGTCACCACAAATGTGGAAAGTTGAAATTCTCTATACTAATCACTGTATAGATTGCAGCCTTGATGAATTATGAGTAGATTCTCTTAACTTATTCTTTTCCTCCCTTTAAAAAACAAAACAAAACAAAACCACCAAAAAACCCCAAACCAACAATGAAACAGGGTCTTAGTTAGGTACCTTCTTATATTGGATAAATATGTGCTTCTCATAGTCAAAAACTGCTGGTGATCTACTGTCTATTAATAGCTTACAACTGGAAAAATTTGGTATCATTCCCTGAGAAATTAATTATGTCACGAGTAAAAAGTAAAAAAAAAATAAAAGCCTAACAAAACTGTGATAAAGTAATCACATAAAAACAAATGTCATAGTTCTGAGCTCTAGCATCACTCAGCCAAACACTACAGGTCACATTCAAAAAGAGGACATGCTGTGTTCTGCTTCAAAAAGAGGGGAGAAGCTGGCTGGGAGTACATTTCTCCCACATTGCTGGTCAGCATTCACAAACCTTGAGATTCCTGCATTGCTGCCATCTGCATGCACTGCAGAAATTCAAAGACCACATGCAGATTTGACACATGGAATCAGGAGAAGTACTTGGATCTGTATTCTATATTCCTTGAAGTTATGAATTTGACACTTTTAGATCTTTTATATTTTGGTCATCTATTGACCTCGCTTTATGAAACCCTGCAACTTTTTCCAACAAGGGCAGAAACAGAATTGTTGGAAAGTGGGAAACTGTTTTCTTACCATATCTCATCCGAAAGCACTGATGCTTTCAATTCCCAATTGTACCACAGAAACAAGAGTATTTGACGAGGTTAATAGCAAGGAGAGGGAAAGAAAATGAAAAGGCTCTGAGAAGTACTGATATGTAGGAGAGAAATTAGAAGGGGGTGGAAGATGAAGTGATCATAAGGATAGAGAACATTGAAGATTATTCAGGCCAACAGAGATGAAAGGAAAGCCAATTGTTAAGAGAGTTGAAGAGAACTGTAGCCTTAGATAAAATCCCTAGTCTGAAGTTAGGGGCAAATGTGAACTTCATCAGAATTACAGTGTCTCCTGGACTGGGATGACCAGGGAACATCGCACGAGATTGCATTGCATTCCCAGTCATTTCATGATGCCCCTCACTAGGAACGTTTGCTTCCTTAAACTCATGTGGCTTCTGGGGAAAAGCCAATGCAGATACCCAAAATTTACAGTACTTGAGCTGCCTGTACCAGCTAAGGAGCTGGCCCTGGCCCTGACCACACTTTCCTGCCCTGCCAGGCACTCAGGAGAGATCTGAGGAGTTTCAACTTCATCAGCTTTCTCAGCTTTCCCACCTGTGGCACTACATGTATCTCTTAAACAAACCTACACATTGCTGATGCTCTAAAAAAGCATAGCCTGTTAAATACTGGGCAAATAGGATTTTTAGTTCTTATTCTCTGGTGAGCAAAACTTGTTTTGTACACAAAGCCTGTGTACAAATCTCTATTTAAAAACTATAAAGAGTGACTAATTAATTACTCCTCATGTCCTCCAAGTACTAACCAGCATAACAAGAAACCAGACAGGGTTTTGTGGATATCAGTTGTGGGAAGGTTCAGATGGATATCAAATAAAGCTTTCCAGTTAACCATTAAAAGAGGGTGCTGCAGACATGCTGAATATCTACCATTGCAGGGTTTTAACATGAGGTTAATCAAATACCAGCTTAATCCAAAATCACTCAAGACCAATCTCAGTACCTGATCCTGCTTCAAACCAAGAGGTTGGACTAGATGGCACCTTAAAGTCTTTTCCCACACATAAAAGTTATAGATTCAATTAATTCCCCTGTCCTTTCAGGTCTACATTAGGCCTATATACGTGGCATTCATTCAAGAAAAGAAAAACTACAAAAATGCAGTGCACTAATCACTGTGTCTTACTACACAGCTTATTCATCTAGCTGAGTCCTGGACACTGAACTCTCTCCCAAGACTGAAGGGAATTTGGGCATGGGACTGAACTTCTGAATACAAGATGAAGAAACACACGCAAGAAAACAGAAAACAGCTCAGACTGTTCCAACTGAGAAGCTATCTAAATGATCAAAAGTGCCAGGTTTCAAGAAGGTGGTACAGATGTCTCTTTTCCAAAATAAAACATCCCGTTACAAACAGTTCTTCCAATAAGATCATTTCAGATTAGTATTTAAACAATCCCCAGATACCAAAAAAATAAAAGTAGTTACCAAAATCTATGTCACTTGGATGGATAGTGCATGCTCTAAGGAGTCTGCCAAGGTTCATGGAGAGAAGAGACCAAACCGTCTGGCACTGCCTGAAATGAAAAGCTGTTCTCCCAATATATAACACTTCTCTGCTTGGCAACAATGATGACGTATGATCCTTATGATGTACGACAATGTTTATGATGTTCATACATTTGTCACAGAGATGCAGTGTGAGAAAAGCCATGGGATGGGTAACTGACATAATTCATACTGCCCAGCTGCATTATAACAAGATTGGATGAATGGCAGCCAGATGAGAGCGGCCACACACACTGAAACCTCCCATGTCCTCCTGCACGCTCACTTTGTGTTAGAGCTTAAGGAGTTTAACTAGATCGTAAGCTCTTCAGATCAAAGACCGCTTGTTCGCTCTGTGTCTGTACAGTGCTTGCAACAAAATGATTCATGTTTGGTGCTCAAGGTGTTACAGAAGTGCAAAAAGTTAATAATAGTAACTGTTCAGATAAAGCCCTAAACTAAAATTTTGATAATGCTACACCAGACATGACTAGTGATTGTGTCTCATTGTCAAGAACTCAATGGGCAATTAAAACAATGATCTAATATTTATTTACATGAAGGCAGAGTTCTTCATTTATTGATGCATATATGACTCGATGTTCCTAGTCACGCTCCAGCTGCCAAATGAACATCTTTATTGTGCTTAATATGCCATATGGTATGAGACAGGCTCCAAAACTCCATGCAAGAAAAATGAAAATACTGCCAAGCATCTCCCAATGAAAAACAACATGCATGTCACTCATTGCCCTCTGTTCATTTTTCAGCCTCCTATATTAGACTTTTACTCCTTTCTGTAAGAAAGCTCATTCACATGTGAATTGTACAGAATATTTTTGTCCACCAAGCAATATTCATTATTAGCAATACGTGCATGCATCCCAAGGCTTTAATC